TTCAAACTACTTTCTCTTTAGAATCAATAAATCGCACTCAAGAGTGAAACCTTTATTAATAAATAAATTCAAAGCACGTATTTTGCCAGTTTTAATTCACAATCAGCAAATTAAACTGAAAATTGCGTGATTAACGGTGAAAATTTCTTCTTAAGTTTATGCTATCCGACCATTAAACGAAAATTAAAAAAATAGTACTTAATAAATAAATATTCTTTACCAGAAACATGACATAAGAGCTCAGCTCGCGCGACTTTAGCCATTCAAATGAAACGAATATATGTTTTTCTCTTTATTGACACAAACTCAGACGAATATTTGGGATTCTCCATTCGTTCTGATCGTTCAGAAACACCAAGCAGATTATTGGCTAATAAGTCATTCTATCAACTGATCCGTCAGTGAAAATGTTTATTGCTTAAATTAGCGACACTAGCATATAAAGCTAGAGTACACTAACATTTAACATAAAGGTAAAAAAGGAAAGAAGCAACCTTACGCGCATGGTAAAACATGGCTAACGATTGTGACAAATGGTAGACTCTAATGATAACAAGAACCATCAACAGGGAGCACGGGCCCTACAGCCACTGCAATCAAATTTTACACCTTAACATAGCTAAAGATATTTGAAGCGGAAAAAATCATACTGAGTGTAAGAAGCTTTGAGACATTAGAACCGTTCCACACATCTGTAACTGTACCCCTTCACAAGTGCGGCTTCCAGCCGCTAAATGATCCACTGGCGGGGCATCCTAAATGACTGAAGCGACAGTGCGATATTTTGAGATGGCACTGCGATAGAAGAGATGAACCGTCTCAAGTACGTAATAGCAATGTTGGCTAAAGATGGCAAGACTGATACCGAAGTGAAAAAGCGTACCGGACTTACACAAGTCAGAGATGATCAATTCCGATGACACGCACAGTCACAATCAATTCCCGGTAAGCTGCATGAAATATGAAAAGATCGAACTTTGAGAACTAGCAGAAAGATCCCAACTTGCAAACATCAGCGATATCTGCGGAGTTCGTGCGCAGTTTGCAAACGTCACGCAATTCATCTCGATGGTTTTCAACAACGCTGTTGTTGTCAACAAAGCGTATTTAAAATGCAACTATCCAGTCGACATAAGAACCAGCAGATGCTGCTCAGCAGCGCTCTGGGAAAACAACTAGAACTACTGAAAGAACGGTTTCTCGCTGATTTAATATAACGGTCCAAAAAAACAATTTACGAAAATGTGTCACCATCGTTTCCGACGTGAGAATCATCCACTGGATTCAGACGCGTTGAAAGGCAATAAAAAACATGTGAATATCTTAATCGAGTACACATCACTGCGATGGGTAAAACGACGCTAGTCTGAGACACCATTTGTAACAGAGACATCTTTAATCCGGTGGAGAGGGCAAGCAACTCCACCGTTTAAAGTGCTCTTAGCCTTAGATGACGATTCCACAAAAACAATTCCGTGTATTCGGCAATTTGTTTTCGTCGTGTCGTCCAAAAGGTAGTCGCTACACTCCGATGACTGCAGCACATGACAGCTCATACGGCGGGTTGACTGTTGTCCAACTGCAAGCAACACTAAAACTGAAGAGAAAGCCATTAGAAACAATCAGTGAACACATTGTTACCTTCAGAAATTAATTACACCACGAGTCAGCGAGTCAGAGGTTAGCTGGGCGATGTTTTCGTGAAGCAGCACATGTCGAATTTGCACGTATTCGGCAACGTTTCGACGGCGTGACTTTGCGGCCGAAAAACATGTACCGTAGATCCAGCCACCGACAATCAATATTTGCAGCTGTAACCAAATAAATAATAGAACATATAACACACCGCC